TTCCAGTCAGTTGGCCAAGTGGTTGTTCTCCAGATTTCTTGGCACAACTTGGTGAGCACATCCAGGGCAGCATTTGTTAGCTGAAATATGTCAATTGTAGTTGGGTAAATCTAAGCATACTGTTTTTTTTCTAAAGGGTGTTTCTCTTAGGCTAGGTGTATGTTAGCGAAGACTGCAAAAACCATCCTGCTTTGAACTCGTTTGTCCATCTTTCTCAAAACCTTCTATTGGTCTAGTATTCTAATGCATAGTAGGTGTAAAGCATGACCTGGATTAGGCGTCCCTTCCCATGTCTTTTTTTTAACTTCCTGGCGGTTTAGTATCAGAGAGTGTGGATTGTGGAATGGAGCAATTTAAAATTAAGAGTCTCGATCTCTTATATCTTCAATAGGCCTAGTGGTGAATTTTTGTTTTTCAATGTTGAACTTCAAATTCTTATCCTTTTGGAGCAAGTGCTTCAGGTCTTCCTTCAGTTTCAGCCAGCAGGGTTGTGTCATCTGTGTCATGCTGTTTGTTGATGTGTCTTCTTCCAATCTCGATGGCACATTTCTTCTCATAGAGCCCAGCCTCCTGCCTGATCTGTTCTGCATATAGATTGAAAAGGTATTGAAATAGGACACATTCCTGGCATACAGCCTTTTCCATTTTGAATGATGAATTGTTTCCTTGCTCTCTTCTGATGGTCCAAGTATAGGTTTCGCCTAAGCATGATCAAGTGTTCTGGGATTCCTATTCTCAGAGTTAGCCAGTTTATTGTGATACACACAGTCAAATAAATGCCTTTACATAGTCAATGAAACACAGACAATCCTCTGGTAGTCTCTGTTTTCAGCCAAGATCCATCATGCTATAATATCCCTAGTACCATGGCCTCTTCCAAACCCAGCCTGTACTTCTGACAGTTCTCTGTTGTTTTTGGATAATTTTCAGCAAACTCTTGCTTTCATGTGATATTAATGATATTGTTTGATAATGCATATAAGTGTAGTAGGGGCAGGGTCTTAGTTTTAGTGTAGTTACCCTTGTGTTCAAGGTCAAAAGCAAAGAGGAACTATTGGAGGGCTTTATAACATACTTAAAGATATTTTTATGTTCTTTTAATGACATTTTCTCTGTCATTTAAAGGTGTGTACTTGTTATGCCATCCACCTACTCTAACTCTGTGTATATACATTGTTTCTGTTCCTTGGAAAGGTTATACGGCTTGTTCTTTGGTGGTATTGAGGGTTACGCGGTCTCTTCACCTTTCCAGATAAGCTTTGATATATGAGGTGACTGTGGCAGTGGGTTTGAGTGTCAGCATGGTACGGGATAGGAGTGATTTGACTATGAAATCCCTGTTTTGAAAACAACCCAAGTGCCCATCAACAACGAATGGATAGAGAAGCTGAGGTATATTCACACAATGGAATACTATGCTGCATTGAAAAACAAGGAACTCATGAAATATTATACAAAATGGGTGACCCTGGAGGATATTATGCTTAGTGAAATATCTCAGTCACAGGAGGAATTTCCTCACGGGGATGCTATGAAATAACAACATATTATTTATATGCAAGGGGGCCTTTTTAAGAAATTACTGTCTTCCCAACCTCTAATTTGAAATTGAAAGTGTTTTAAAAGAATTTGCAGCAGTAATATCCTTAAAACTGTGTAAAAGTAAAACAAACAAAAAAGCCAACACAGTGCAAATACTAAAATTTCCCATAGCCTCTAGTAAGTTACACTTTTCTGATATTTGCAGGTATTTCTGTTGATGCTGTTAACTCTTTGGGCCAAACAGGACTTTTCATTGCTGCATTACTGGGTCTTACAAAATTAGTTGATATTTTGGTGGATTATGGATCAGACCCAAACCAGTAAGTACAATAGAACATCAGAAGTGTTTTCTTAACATTAGTTGGCAATATTATCGCAAACAAATTTTGACGGGGGTTGGGGGTGTGTTAAGAACCCGAGTTTTTCTAATTTATATCAGTGCTACAATCTAAATTCTGAAATGGTTACAAATAATGTTAGTTTTTGAAACATAGTTTTAACTATAATAGAAAAGTTATCTGGCAGTTGTCTCAAGATAGACATTGTTGCTCTTTAGCACCCTGGAGAGGTCCCTCACAGCCAGCTTTCTCAGTGAAGTTTGTCTTGATTTCCTGACTGCTGGTGTTGATTGTAGTGCCGAGCAAGCTATAATTGTTAACAACCTCAATCTCTTCTCCATCTCTCACGGTACTGTCAATTGGCCAGTGGTGAGAATCTTTGACTTCTCGATGTTGAGCTTCAATCCATATTGAAGACTACAGTCCTTGACCTTCTGCAGCATGTACGTCAGGTCCTCCTCAGTTTAGCTATCAAGGTTGCTAACATAGGTTGTTAAGGAGTCTTCCGCCAATTCTGATGCCATATTTTTCATAAAGTTCAGGCTCCTGAATGATCTGTCCCACATATAGATTGAGAAGAAATGGAGACAGGACTCCCTGATGCACTCCTTTCTTCATTTTGAAGCATGCGGAGTTTCCTTGCTCTGTTCTGATGACTGGCTCCTGGTCCAAGTATAAATTTCACATGAGCACAATAATTGTTCTGGGATTTCCATTCTTCTCAAAGTTAGCCACAATTTGTTGTGATCCACACAGTCAATGAAACACAGATAGAAATTCCTCTAAATGTGTGTACAGAAATACGCAATTTCTTCTCCTATTTGTATTTCTCTTTCAATTAATAGAGGGAAAGCTTCCCAGTTGATTCTAATATGCAACCTGGTTAGGAAACTGTGGATCCATATCATATCCTCAGTGTACCTGGACACGATAAGGGCCATCTTCCCATGCCTCTGGGATACTTCACTGCATTTGATGAAATGTTTCATCGCTCTAGGTCTTTGATCAGTCTAAGATTTCTTGGCCCTCCCACCATAGATTTGTGAGACAGACACATTCTTATAGGAGCAATTTCCCTGTTAGGCTTTGCCGGATAAGCTGGCCTCAGACCTTGCCGGTCTGAAGAATCATATGCAGCCCACATTAGGGTGAGGGATGTGAGGGAAGGTCCCAGACATGGATCCAAACTGTACCTGGCTATTATTCTCTTTTCTTATCCATAAATTGGGAAATGATCCGGCCCTGAAGGATTGAGATCAGGATGGAAAACAGACCAGGAACGGAACAGACGGTTCTTGTATCACAATCACCGAAGGGGATGCCTGTTGAGGAGAGGGAAGCCCGTGTTGCCCGTGGGGTTCCCACCATTGCCCTTGACACTCATTGTCGCCCCACAGCCGCTGTTTTGATGGGAGCACCCCTGTTCACGCAGCAGCATTTTCAGGCAATCAGTGGATCCTCAGCAAACTGCTGGATGCAGGAGGTGACTTGAGACTCCATGATGAGAAGGGCCAGGGCCCTCAGGCCTGGGCACTGACAGCAGGGAAGGAGTGCAGCCAGCAGGTAGGGGGCCCTGCAGCCACATCCGGCAAGGGGCCTGCGGAAGCTGCTTAACCTCAGATAAGTCTAGTGAGCTTTCAGGCCATCTGTTCAATGTGGACAGAGAACAGTTGTGAATTTGACCCTTGACTAGCAATTTACCATGTATATTATTAATATAAATATATATTACTATAATATTTTAATATGGGTTAATGTAATAGCGTTAACATTAATATATGTATATTTTACTTTGTATATTAATGCACTTAATTCTCACAGGGATGGGGAAACTGAGGCCCAGAAACATGGCAGCAGGTGTGAGGTGTTGTCTGTAGGAATGGTACAGTCAGTGGCAGGGTCAGAGGCTGAAGTGTCAGTTTGGGGCCCCCCCCCCCCATTCTCCTGCTCATTACCTGGATTTTGGACAAGTCACTCCCTTTCCCAACCTCAGTTTCATCTGTCCAAGGAAGAGTTGGAGGACATGGTGGCCGGATCCCCAAATCACTCCATCCAAAGGGAGATCTGGGTCCTTTCCCTTGCTGGGCACCCTGCTCCTCATACTGTCACCTTCCCGTCTGAGCCCCTCTCTTGGAGGCGTGGGCTCTGCCCTCTGCAGACTGGGTGCTGTTGAAGGCTGGGGTGCCAGGTTCTGTGGCCACACGGATTGTCAGTGGCATGTGTTGCAGATCCTGGAGTTCGTGCAGCGCTGCACCTTGCACATGCAGACCGTCATCCAGGGCTTCTCCAGCGGGGACCTTCTGCGGAGGGTCGACTCCTCTCAGCAGCTCATCTGCAGCCCACCCCGCTTCGGGGGCCTCATGCCGGGGTGAGTGCTACCTCGAGTGGTTGGGGTTTCTGTATCACCTAGCCTTTCTTGGGGGTCTGGCCAACAAAGGCTGTGACTGCTGGTCAAGGACAGCCAGACAAGCTCCACCAGTCCACAGGACCTGGGGAAATGGGAGAGGTGCCACCCCAAAACTAGCAGTAAACCCAGCTACTCTCTCAGCAGCAATAACTGAGCACCACACGAGGCACTGGGAGCCAAAGAGACAGGACACTTGTCACAAGGACCTTCAGTCACTAGGACCCCCACTGGCCAGGCGGCAGTTAGGGTGAGGGGAGAGCAGTGGCCAGAGTGAGAACCAGCTCGATCACAGCCCTGCTGCTGCTGTGTGACCTCTGGTCAGTCGGCCTCCCTCTCTGGGCCCCATTGGTTCCCGTCTAGAAAAGGGAAAAGTGGGACCTGATGAGTGTTAGGATTCTCCAGGGACCTCGCCAATGTCCTGAAGAGCAGAGATGTCAGTTTAAAGAGTAAGGTGCACTTGATTCAAGCCAAGGTCTTTCCAGTCACCTACTAGGCATCTAGGAGCTGGACAGTGAATAGGATGAGTGAAGTTAGTTGACACCTTTGAGCTGTGGTTTTGGAGAAGAGCACTGACTGTCCCATGGAACGCAAAAAAGAGCAAACAGATATGTCTTGGAGAAAGTGCAGCTCGAGTCCTCCTTGGAGGCAGGGATGATGAGGCTTCCTCTCTCAGTCTCTGGACATGTTGTTAGAAGAGGCTGTTCCTTGGAGAAGGACATCATGCTTGAAATGTAGCGAGTCAGTGAAAGAAAGACCCCCAGTGAGATGGACTGACTGCAGCAACGAGCTTGAGTGTGTCAGAGGTTGAGGATGACACAGGACAGGGTTCAGATCTGTTGTTTGTAAGGTTGCTGTGGGTCACGCACAACATGTCGACCCCTGACAACAGCAGTGACTATCCGTTAACTATTACTTCACTATATGTGACTCTCAAACTTCACACCTTCAAACAGCAGCAGACAATTTCAGCTCAGGGTGTCTGGGTTCGGAATCTGAGCGTGACCTGGCTGGCTGGTTCCAGCAATGCCATGTTGGTGGTGAGATGCTTCAATCGCTCATGTTTCAGAAGGAGACTGTTTAGTCTGGAAGCTTTGCTCACAGTCGCCCACCACATGTGACCCTTCTGGTGTTTGGATTGCTGTTGGTGTTGACTCCAGCATCACAGCCACACCCAAGCTACCAGAGTACAGCAAACTGACAGGTGGGGGCCTGTGTGCTTATTGTTCCGTGGTAGAAAGTCCAGTAGTAAAGACAAAACTAACTCCACGTTCTGGAGGCTTGGTTTAGCATTGCTCCTCTGGATGTGAGTGATGTGCTGTTGAGTCGGAACTGACTCAGAGGTGACCTCGCAGCGGGTTTAGAGAGGCTGTAAATCGCACACGAGGAAATGCCCATCTTTCTCTCATTGAGCAGCTGGTGTATTCAAACTGCCTTTATTTGCATTGAAAGCACAGCTCCTTACTCACGAGGCTACCAGAGCTCCCTCAGATAATGTGTTGTTGTGGTTAGGTTCTGCCATAAAGTCAAAACCAATCCACAGCAGACCCTCCAGCAGGTTTTCAGAAGCAGTTAAATGAAGAGCAGTTGGTGGATTCAAACTTTGTGCCTTTGGGTTGGCAGTGCAACTCCTTCCCATTAAGCCATCAGAGCTCCCTCTCTTGGATATGACTGTTAGGTTTATCTTGACTTTTCCTCCCGTCTCTCTTTGTACTATTTCTAGAAACCCTCCTGGCTCTCCTAAACGAATGGTTAAAGCTGGAATCATTTCTGCCCAAAACATTTACAGTTTTGGCTTTGGGAAGGTAAGATGTTGTCATTGCTGGGCCAGTGTTACAGGCCTGAGAGCGGACCAGCCTATGTCTGGCCTTAACCATGTTCCACCCCTTTTCCCGATTCTTCCCACCTTCGTCTCTCTGTGCTTTGGGATTTTTTTCCCCTTTGCCCTTCTGCAGTGAAGAGTCCCTGGTGTTTGTGTCCTTACCTGAGAAATGGTGGAAACCCTGATGCAATCCCTTGAATGACCTTGGCTCAATTTTGAAGCTTAGAGAATGAGCCCACCATTCTTAGTAAGGCCCCAGACCTGCTTTTCCCAGAGACGGCCTGCCTGGGGACTGTCCTTGCCCTTTCACAGACTTTTGAGCTTTGCTGAAGTGAAGTGAAATGAAACTGAGAAGCGTTTTGAGAGCAAACAGTGCCTTGTGGTTCGCTGGTTCTGTCCACCCCAGGAGGCTGCTGCTGGTGATTGTTCCTGACAGCCCAGCCTGACTCAGGAGTCTCTGTTGGGTGTGAGGGGCAGCGAGGGCAGCAGGAGGAGGCAGGGGAAGGCGGGATTCAGGCTCTGGCAACACACAGGCCCAGCCATGGTGCCTCAGGCAGACACTGGCTGCTTCTCTGAGCCCGAAACTGCTGTGAGGGAAGTCTGTCTCATAGAGAGAGACCCAATAAGACAGCGCAGAACTGCCCCACGGGGTTTCCAAGTCTCTACAGACTTACACTGCCACGTCGGTTTCCCGACAGTGGCCTGTGGGTTTGAACCAGCAGCCTCTCGCTGAGCAGCCGAGGGCTTTGGCTGCTATGGCACAAGGGCTCCTTTAGTGAACCTTGCTTCCCTCATCAGTTGGGGGACAAATGTAACACCCTCACCAGACTTCGCGGAGGTTTGACGCTAATCAAAATGAGAGCATAGTATCTGGTGTGCAGGCCTGGGCAGGTGGCTGGTGAAGAGTGGGACTCGTTATTTCCAGCTGGCTGCTAAGATTCTGGGGGTATTTTGCTTTTCCTTCCTTCTCCCCACAATTTGAGGCTGTGCCTTGGTTTCAGTTTTACCTCACAGGCGGGAAGGAGCTGGTCTACCTCGGATCTCTTCCCATAGTTGGAGAAAAGGACGTGTTTCAGGCTGACGACGAGCCCACCTTCTCCTTCTTCAGTGGCCCCTATATGCTCATGAGCAAGTAAGCGGGGCTGATCTGCTCATGTGGGAAGAGGGGCCATGACTTCTCCCACGGGCAGCAGGTCTCCCCTCATGGGAAGAAACGCCTTTGGACACACCGCAGTGGAGCTTCAGCCCCAGGGCTGCTGACGTCGGCTAATTATTGTTGGGGCGGCCTTGTAGGGTGTTTGGCATTGTCCCTGGCCTCTGGCCACTGCCAGTAGCAGCCCATAGCCCCAGCTGTGACAGTTAAAAGTGTCTCCACATATTGACAAGTGTTTTTGAGGTAGGGGTGGTGTGGGCAGAATGAACCCACCAGTTAAGAACTACTTCTGTGAAACATTCATGGAAGCATTTTAATGTCTCTGCTTTTTACAGAATTAGAGGCAGTTTAACGTCTTGACTCTAGTACAGGTATTGAGTCCTTTGTAACCACTGAAACAGGCATCGGCTGCCCCTGTCTCCAGCCAAATCCAGAGGTGACAGTGGCAGCCCCTGGCTGTGTCAAGTGTCCTTAGTCCTCGTTTGCCAGCCCCTCCAAGGCCATGGGAGTTGACTTGGCCGAAGTGACTTAGCCTCTTTGAAGCTGAAATCTTTTTCCTTGCTTAGAGGAAACATCTTTCTAACGTGTTAGTCAGCAGAAGGCCTTTTCCAGAGGCCCGAAGCCTGCTGTGTCCTGCCCTCACCCACCCCCATCCCGACTGGTCCGCATTGTCACCAGCCTGAGCGGGGCCTCTTGCTAACTGGTGTCTTACTTTCTGGTTCTCCTTCTCCTTCCCATCCTCAGTCCTAGAGGCTCCATTGGCTTTCTAAAACACAAACATTACCCCTTCCCTTAAGTTCTCCGCTGAAGTACCCCAGGGGTGCTCTGGTACTTGGGAAGCACAGTGGTGCACAAAAGGATCCACAGTTTCTGCAAGACACCACAGCTGCATCTCTGGCCGCCTCCCCTCTTCTCACCCCCACAGTCTGGTGTGGAACGGGAGCCGGGTCACAGTGAAGGAGCTGAATGTCCCTACCCACCCGCACTGCAGCAGGCTGCGACTGGCTGACCTGCTCATCGCTGAGCAGGAACACAGCAGGTGAGGAGACATGGGGGTCCAGGCTGCTTGAGGTGGGTCTGCAGACACCCCTCCCCCCACAGGATCAGTCCCAAGGGATGGAGCACCAGCTGCCTTAGCCCCATCTTCCCAGGCTTTTGGGACCAGCTGACTTGACCTAGGGCTGCCAGGGAAGAGAAAGAGGAGTAAAGGGCTAGCCGGTGCAAGCGTGGTGGTGCTGAGGGGCTCAGTGTCAGCCTCACTTCTCATAACCATCTGCACCCCTGTCTGCTGCAGCCCCTCGGGCTGCCCCATTCTCTCCCAGGCCCATCTAGGGCAGTGTATGGCTGTCCTGCTGTGTACACCACTGTGTTTCTCAAGAACGCCACCCCCTCTGCTGGGGTGTGGACACACACTCAGTTCCTTATGGTTCCTGGGGCTCTGGGCTTAGGGTCTTCTGCTCTTGCTGGGCCATGCTCTCAATTTGTAGCTTCACACCAGTGCCGCCAAGACCTTGGAATGGGCCCAGGTTCTGAGTCTAGAGAGGGTAAATTCTTTGGGGGAATTAAGCCATAAAAGACCTAGGTGCATATCAACAGGGTGGGCTTTCCCATGAAGTAGGCTTGGGCCAAGGACCTGCTGTATTCCCTGACCTGGGCTATGTATTCCCTGCTGTATTTCCTGACCTGAATATCAGATGAGATGCCTCTGGATCTTGGGGGGAGTTCTGTAGTGTCAGAGGCCTCTGTCCCTGCTTGTCTCACAGCGGTCCCCGTTCCCCCTGCTGCTCATTGAACTCTCAAAACAGAGCTGATATTTCTTAAAAAAGAATGCAAAGTATCTTGCCCAGCAGCATGGTCCTAGTGGTCCTTGATGACCCTTCAGGCCTGTTGGGTGTGATCAGGGACAGGCCCAAGATTCCACAGAGCCCCTCCCATCCCTATGCCTCATCCCCTGTCTGCTTCTTTGAGAAACATTTGTTTAGAATTTGTTCAAAAGCCCTAGAGAGAAAGCACAGCACCCCTCTTTTCATCCTGTCCTCCTTGTGCCTGCCCCCACTGGGGCTGCTTCTCCACAGCAAGCTTCGGCACCCCTACCTGCTGCAGCTGATGGCCGTGTGCCTGTCCCAGGACCTGGCGACCACCCGCCTGGTGTACCAGCGCATCACGGTGGGCACCCTGTTCAGCGTCCTCCACGAGCGGGTAAGCGCTGCTGTCAGGTCCCCCACCTCTCACTCAGAGGAAGAGCTGCGGGTTCTGTGAGCCTGGAAGATCCATCTCATACATGTCCTCGTTGGGGGCTGCCACGCACACAATCTAAACCCTCTCTTGTTACTGTTAATCCTGCCTCCCTGTCAGACAGTCGAGAACTCAGCAGAAAACACAGACCTGTTTCCAGCAAAGGATTCTAATGGCTTTGAAAGACTTACACGTGTATAACACGCTACTTATAACTCTATATTGTCTTTGTAACGTAATAAATAAGACGTCTATGATAGCACAAAGGAGAGAGGATGGATTTACTAAGGTTTTTCTATTTTACCAGGATTAAGATATTATAAATATGAGAGCTGTAATTAATTAGGATGCACAGTTTCATTCCCAAAGCATAGGTTTTTTGGTGGGTGGGGGAGGTTCAAACTCAGCTTTATGCCCCCTGGCCTCCAGCCTTTTACAACTTGAGATGTGAATCAGCTTAGTCCTGGGGAATGAGCTGGGTTTGGAGTGGAGATCCTGGGTCCTACGGCCCTTAGGCCGCCACTTAAAACACCCCCCTCCCGCCCACTGCCTGCCCCCTATTCATAAAAGGAACTAAGTAACGAAGATGAGATGAGATGCCTCTGGAACTTAGCGGGCTTTGTCAGGGCCTTCCTCCCTGCTTTCTCACAGCGGACCCAGTTCCCTCTGCTGCACATGGAGGTGATCGTGCACCTGCTGCTCCAGGTCTCTGACGCACTGAGGTACCTGCACACCCGCGGGTTTGTCCACCGCTCCCTCAGCTCCTACGCCGTCCACATCATCTCCCCGGGGGAAGCCAGGCTGACCAACCTGGAGTACATGGTGGAAAGGTGGGCAGAAGCTCTACTCTGACTTCCAAAGAGGGGCTCCCTGGATGTTGAAGCCCTCCTGTGGAGGAGGGATCTTTGCTATTGTAACAAAACACTAAAAGTTTTTTAGGAAGACTGACCCAGCCGGACTCCACGCAGCCTGTCAGTGACGGAGCGCCATCTGTTGTTAACATGGGATATATTTATATTTGACTTTTGCTCGTCAATAGCTGAGTAAATTCTAGAGGGAAGTGGAGCTTTGAAGATAGCCCAACTCAACCCTCCTCTTTTATAGCTAAGGAAACTAGGCCAAGAGAGGGAGAGTGAAGTTCTTAACTAGTTAAAGAACTAGTTGGAGGCAGAGCTGGGCTAGAACCAAGTGATGCCTGCTCGCTGCAGGAGCAAGAAGAATTGGAGGTAGAGGACGGGGTGGGGGGG